GGCCAAAGGCAGGAGGAAGGAATAGTAAGGAGTGTACGGAGAACACTGAAGTCTGCAGGCAGCACCTGGAGGTGGTGTGGAGTGGGGAGCAGTGGCTTAGGAAAAAGAGTCTGAAGGAGGGAATTGTCTGGCAGGGTGTGCTGACAAGGGAGGGCTACTCCTGAGGGAGCAATTGCCTCACTGTTGCTTCAACACCCATTCTGTGGGAGAATTCCCTTGTTTGCTGAGCTTCAGAGTCCCCTCTGGACCTGGAGCCAGAAAAAAAAACCTGAGACTATGCACAGGGTGGGGCTGCTGGGGAGAAATTGATCCCTGTGGGTGGAGGGGGCAGAGGGTGTTAGGTGATCCTGACTGCAGAGCGTTCAGTACTGATCCCAAAACACAGTACAGCAACAGCATATCAGATAGCATAGCTGAGTGTAAGTTAAATCAGATTTTTTTCTATCATCAAAATATACTGTCTGGCTTGTACAAATGTAGTTCAGAAATAACCTATTTTTTTACAATACCTGTGTGATTTAAGAATGAATAAATCTCAGGACGCTTTCACAGTATATCTGGTAATATTTTACCAGCCGGTACAGGAAAATTATTTTACAACTAATGACATAGATGTGCTGTGCACAGAAAAAACTTATGAATTTTGCCCTTTTTTATTCTCTTTGGCATTATTTACTGCTGTCATTTACCTGCTTTTTAAGGACTATTGTAAGATTATCTGCTCTTAAGGCCACTGCTCCTGAGACCAGGGAACTGTTCTGCAATGTGGGGTCAGCCTAGAGGTCTGTGGACACCAAGGGTTTCCCACCAGCTACTCCTCCAAGATTGAAGACTGCATTTGCTCAAAACAAAATGCCTGGCAGCAGCAGTTTATGCAGAAATGCTGGAGATGTCAAAAACATAGCAGGTCAATTTGTCCACTCCCCATCGTAGCCGCGTCCCTCCGGGATGCCTTTCTTCTCCCGCTTTGTCCTGTCTAGTCCGAGCAAGTGACGGGACTTCTGCTGTGGGATTTACTCTGTAGATTAATGAGCTGCAAAACTTCACATATGTTTAAATGATTGTACTTGCTCCCCCCGTTTATACCTCCGTTGTCAATAAGGTGGCAGGAAGGCCAGCGCGAATCCATTTATCAAGCCGTCTCGCCTGCGAGATGCGGCCGGGCTCAGCACCTGACATGATAATAAACACCGCAGCTTTAGCACCTGATGTTAGCGCAAGGTGCCTTTCCTCTCCAAACATCTGGTCCCCTGGTAAATTGTTCCACTCGCCGCGCCGCTGCTCCCCGGGTTATTGCCGAGCCCGGGCCGGTGCGTGCTGCTCCGGGTCTGTTCTCAAGTTGTCGCGGCGCGCCGGCCGTATGATGACAATTAGAGGCAGTTAGTGCGCAGATGAGGCTCGCGAGTGGCAGGTGGCGGGAACGGGGCTCAATTAACTAACATGCACAAAATCCTTTGCTAATGAGGCTGGGCCACCCCAGACGAGCAGGAAAGCATGTGTCGCTGACAGCAACAGAGGATTTGAAACTGAGAGGGAGAGAAACCGGTCAACAGGTATCATCGGCGGGCAGATAATCCTTTCTATCTCACCGCATGTGGATTAAGGCATAGGTTTAAGGCTGCACGCTGAAAGCCAGCAAGTGAGGCCACTACTTGCTGGGGAACTGGGAAAAATCTAATTTCCCCATCTTTAAATCTCCAGTCTTTTCTTTTCTACCTCACTATCCTGCTCTTTCGTGAGAGCTGGGCAATGACTAAATCATTGTATAAAATTAAATCATATCAAATTGTATAAAATAATATCAATTGTATAAATTGTATAAAACAATATCAATTGTATAAAATTAAATCATATCAAAGTAAATCATTTTAAAACAATCTAAAAGCTGTTTGGGACACACTACTTAAACCCCTGGCCATTTTAGATGGCACAACATATTACTCCTTGTCTTTCTGTGTTAAGCAGCACTTTAGAAGGTATAATCACAGATAACCCCATACAGTAATTTTGTTTTTAGCAGGTCACAAGGCAACATTGTTCTTTGAACTGAAACTCCCTGTAGGAGCTGTTGATGTGAACGTGAAGCCACTTACAATCCTAGCCTCCAAATACTGCCTCCTCCTGTTCGTTTTATAGTGGTTTGAAAAGGGATCAACAGCTGTGAATATTTTTGAGTGTGTCGTATACAACATCTAAAATTCTGCTAAACTCCTGTTTTCCACAGAAAAACCTGTTTCCCTGGTGGTGACTTGACATGGACAGTGTGTAGTGACTTGTTTTCAGAGTGTCTCAGTAATATGCACGTGCATGAAACTGAGAACACACAGACATTACAGATTCAGCGTGCCAGAAGAAGTCCCAGCACAGTACAGCACATAATATGCAACGTAGGTCCTTGTGAATTGATGCCGGTCAATTACTATAAATTTATTTCAATGGCAATTTACATTTAGAAGGAAAACAAACAAACAAACAAACAAACAAAAACCACAACAGTTTCTTAACTACTATGACAGAAATGAAACACCTATTTATACCCCTTGCCCAAGCCTGATCTTTAAAATCCTATTCCTAAATTAAGAAAATTGGTAAGAGAAGTGGCAGGGATAAAGTAACTGTCTATGGCTGGAGCCCATGCTTTGTGCTGGTTTGGGCACTGCAAAGCACTTGGATCAGTGTTGAGCCACCCCCCCACACCTCTGCATGCTCTGCACCTCCAAGTAATGAGGTGAAGCACAATCCAGACTGTGGATGTCCCTGTAGTCCTTCCGAGGCTCTTGACAATATTGCAGTACATAGGGGGCTGTACCTGTTTCTCTAACTGCATGTTTTCAAATGACATAGCATCATTAGGCTTGAAGAAACAAGAACTCTCCTTACGCTGTCTCACTGAAGCAAGTTAAAAAAGGAAAAATGCCCTCCTATGCTTGATGTCATAACAAGATATATAAATAACTTTTTCCTCATGACTTTAGGGGATTCTGCTCTCTGGAATACCTTTGGCTCAAAAAGCCCTTAAACACTTTTGGTTGTGTGAAGGGACATTAACGTCAGTGTCCTGGATGGGCTTTAAAGTAAAGCTTGCCCTTGAAAATTGGGGAGGGGGGACCAGACTGATAGGGTGAAATTTTTTGCTTCCTACTCCAAAGCAGTGTTTGCTGTTTCTGTGGGTTTCAGACAGCTGCTGCCTTCTGCTGCACCGGACCCACTTCTGTATGGGGGAAGATGCTTGGTCATGTCTGTATGTGAATATGTGCCCAGTTGAAACAAAATGCTGAACACCTGCAGATCCCATGAGCATTAAATGACGTACAAGTATGCAGCTCTTGTAAATTATTACTTATTATGAGGAAATGAAAGAGAGTGAAATACTTTTAAACACTTCCTATATTTTGAGGACAAAAAAGGTGTGTCATTTTCAATCTACCTGTAGGATCTGTTATGTAAAGATCATCAGAAACTTTTTCTTTTTTTTCCCCTGGAAAATGAAAAGATAGAAAACAATTTTGAAATACAAACCTAGTTCAAGACTCCCTGAGTTATGGGTAATCCCAATACAAAGTAATGACTTTGCCCAATCTTCAGGAAAAAAAAGGTACTTCTCAATCGATGTGTCCCATCTTACCTTTCATCTTTGAAGACCAAAGGGAGTGTTTTGTTTCAGTATAAGCTTAATAAAATAACTGTAGGAAAAGACCCAAAGACAGGCATTGTTGAGCGCTGCTTTTGAGGAGCTTACAAAGCAGAGAGATGGACTCTGAAAGGGAAAACTTCCCCATGGAAAAGTTACCAGACATTTGTATGTAGTATGGCACTCATAAGGTGGAGTCCTCTCAAAGGAAGTGGGCAATAGAGAGCAGATGATTGCAGTGTAACACACTGTAACACGCCGTACCAGATACTGAAATGTTTACGTGTGTGCTTAATTTCATCCCAAGCATTTCAGGGTTTGCAAATCACCCCTGCAAGGGTTTAGCTGCACACTGTCTGTTTGTGCATACAGAAGAGTGCCTACGTCCCATAGATCACTTTGTAATTCTTAGGGCCCTTAATATCCTACAGTACAACCAAGGGGGATAAAACAAGAATAGTCGGAAGCCGTACCCCTGCCTCTGTCGGATAGGATCTGTTTCTTTTCTGACATCCTAAGCTTGAACTACGGAACCTTTTCTGGAGGTCAGCATCTTCTTTGCAACACAGATTCAATGTCCTTAGTGGGTGGCATATGTGCAATGGGCCATGAGAAATGTTCATAGTGTTGAGATTAAAATAACCTCCCAGGCTAGAAGAAATATAATTCTAATTTATAACCTAACTGTGGAAATTATTAACCCATTCCTCACTCCACTCTCATAGATTTTATTTCTATTCTTCCTCCAATGCACTCTGCTAGATAGAGTATTAAACAGAACAAGGCCACACACAATTTAAGAAGAAAAGCAGGGGTTTGGTTAAAAACACTTTTTGAAGGGGAACTGAAATTATTATTTCTACTGTAGAGACATTTGCACCTGGATGCGTCACAGCATGCTTTAGAAAAGGAGAAGGAAGGGGAGAAGTGTGCTTAGTCAGTATGATGGGCTAAAAAACAGTGGCAGAAATCAGTGTTAAAATCTCCTACTGGATAATACTTCATGGGATTTTAAGGGTAACAGTCTTGTAGATTCTAAAGAATAGAGGTGGGTTTTAAGAAGCAGGTGCTCAGTGTGCATAAGTTATTATAGATATATTGTTTGTAGTGGATCTTTGCTGATTTACATCAGTTCTGAATAAGAAGTCAGAATGCTTGAAAGCTATTTGGCATAAAGAGAAAAACAGTGGACGGGAGGGCTAATGTATTGTCATGAAGAATTAGAATAAAAAGCTGTGCGAGAGGGCAGTGTGAAGTAAACACAGCAAAAGGAAATCCAGAAGCATTTATGACAGATTACATCTAAGAGGAAGGCAATTCTGAGAGTGTGACATTATTATTTTTTTTTTTCCTTGTGAGGACTCAGATGCAGATTTTCCACTTTGTACTTTAATCTTACAGAAATACTTCCTAGGCAAGGCACCAAGAAATCAGCTTTTCCATCTTCAGGGCCATCTCCCCATATACGCATTGGGCACTGGCTTTCCACGTGGAAAAAGTCATCTGCATTCTGTGAGAGACAAAATGTTGTACACAACCACAGATCTAAGTAGTAAAAGATTAGGATTTAACCATCCCTTTCACATTGCATTCTTTCCTTTGGAGAATTGAATGCCACCTTGGGAAAACTGATGGTAAAGCCTTTGCTTTTGGAGATCTTGATTGTAGGTGAGTGGGCAAAGAGAGGTACATGTAAGATGCTTACACATAGCTCATACATACACTCTTAAAAAAAAAAAAAAAAAGCTTCTTCCATGCAAGGGGAAAACCAATTCACAGAAAGTTTAGGTTCAACTGCACTTCTTGCCTGTGAAAGAGCTGTCAAATTATCTTGGTTGGAAGCTGCACCGAGGTATTGTCCTTAATTGCTCTGATAATGCTCCGTTTTGACAGCTACAATACCTGGTTCAACATGGCTGCTAACAAAAAAGTCAACCATTAAGTATGTTTTCTTAAACAGTGACTGATCAGTTGTTATCTTTCAGCATCTCCAGCTAATTAGACATCACGAGTCAAAGTTAATTTGGTGGAAAACATTTCTCGACTTAATGACATTTATGGGCAATTAGGCACGTTGCAGAAAGGAATACACATTTACATTTCAGCCTATTTCCAGCGCTTAACAAGAACCCACCTCTTTCTCCACTGGAGATTTCTGGTTCTCTGAGGAATATGTTCGATGCAGACACCACAGGTCCTCTTGTTTTTCTGGAAACCAGCAACTGTTTGCACAAAACGAGCTACCACTCAATAATGAGGCATAGACAGAGGTAAAATTAGGCACAATGAAAGCTTTTACACTCTTTAGACTCCTGTCTCGTCATGGCAAGAACTATGCCTAACTCTAGGGTAGTAAAAACTGAAAGATGGATATTGAGTTGATATATTACATTTCTTCCATCAAGTTCTTCTGAGAGATGCTTATACTCTTAAAAACCTTACAGGTTTGACAGAGAATTTGAAAAGGTAATACATGACTTTTACCCTGTCCCTATAGCTGGCCTTTTCTTGCCAAAATCCTTTTTTCTTTAGTCAAGCTTCCCTTTGCAGAGGCTAAATGACCCTTTTTCCCCTATGTGCTTATGCTTTTTTTTTTTTTTTTTTTTAATTTTTTTTTTTAAAAAAAAAAAAAAAGTTTTTGAAGAGGAAGCCAGAATCCAATTTGTTCCTTTTAAATTGCTGTGGGCTGAGGGATCTGGGGAGGAAAATGAGTAGTCCTTGCTAATGACAGGTGGGTATGGCCACCCATGTGCGCCCCATTCCCTTTGGACATGGATGTGGCAGGATTTGGGAAGAGCTGCCTGGCTGGCACCTACTGGCATTGGCAGAGGGATGGGTTTTTCCTCCCTCAACTCAGCAGGAAGTTCTCTGTTGAGACTGTTGCCTGCTTCTTATTTTGACAAATCTTGCAAAAATGTGGTGTGCATGAGTATTTCCAGTGTCACATAAAGCAGAAGTTGGTCAATGGCTCCAAAGGCCATGTGGGCTGACAAAGCCTGGTTACGATACCCCCTCTCCATAGGACGTTTAGGCTAAAAAGTACTGGAAATGAAAGGTAGGCTGAGCATGCAGCTATATCCTTCTGGTTTGCACCACCTGTACAAATTGGTTGTTCTGGGCTTAGCCCTGAGAGCTGAGGCCACAACCACAGCCTAAGACAGGACAGCCAAAGCCTAAAATACTTGTACTTGATTACAGGGAGCTGGAAGCATCCACAAAACTGGTGCGGGCAGATGTCAAAGCACATTCTTCTACACCTTCTAAGAGCTCTTTGCAATGTCAGGCAAGTAACACCTGCAGGAAGTGGATTGAGTTGTTCTGGGGCTCGTGCAGCAGGATTAGGTCTGGGCCACTTTCTGCTTGTGGCGCTAACCACGCTGCTTTTAGAGTGCACATTGACCAAACATGAATACTTAGGGTGTATGGCATCTATAGCCAAATAGTGCAGTTATCTGACTTGGCGTCATTACCTGGAAAATCAATTTATTTTTAAGTAGGTACCTGCGAGGGCAAGAAAATGGCAGACCCAGCGGGCGAGGGGCAGGTCCCAGCCGGGTGCTGGGGTGCTGTCGGTGGCCCTGAAAGCAGAAAATTAGGAGCAGGGAGGGCATCTGCGGTCCAAGCCGCCCCGCTCTGTTTGCTCAGCTCACTCTACAATTCAACGCCTGTCAGTAAGTCGCCTGGCATTTGTTAAGACATGAAAGTAGCGCGGCCGGGCTTTATTTCCAGGAGCTCTGTATTACAACTGGAAATGCCACCGGCAATTAACGACGCAGCCCCTCCGCATTATCCATCCCTCCGGGGCGCGGCATTGATTTCTCCTCCCAATTAACGCCACCAGCTCCCCCCTCAGCCCGCCCGGGCCTGGGCCCTTGGCAGGGGGCAGCGAGGGGACCCGGGGCCGGGCCGGAGGGGACCAGCAAGCGGCGCTGCCGCTCGGGGGACCCGGGGAGCCGCCGGCGAGGCCGTCCCGGAGCCCCCCGGCTCCCCCCGAGGCTCCCCCAGGCGCCGGAGGCGCTGCCGGGCCCCGGTGCTGCCCGGGGAGGCGCTTTCAGTCCCTCCTAACTCCTCACACACCCGGAGCCGTGCTGCAGGCGCCCTCTTGGGTAGAAAATGCGTGTCCCCGGTTGTTTGGTTCCTTGTCAAGCACTGTCCCGCGATGGAGGGGGCTGAAGCCTCTCAGCTCTCTCCCCTCACACAGTCCTTTGTGTGCTTCCACATCCCAGGGGCTCAGATATCCCCTTGGATAACAGAGGGGTTCCCGGGGCGCTGCCCCACGCCGAGGACTGTTGTGCCCCTCTGTCCTCCTGCCGACACACCTCTGCCTCCCCTCTTCCCTCCAGTCCCCCTCTTTTTCACCATTTGCTTTCTAGCCGACCCCCTGCGCCCTGTTCCCCTCCACTCCTCTCTCCCGCGATGCACAAGGTAAAAGCCCCGCCACAAAGGGAACCTTTATTAACCCAAAACAGGGCTGGACTGGGCCCTGCAACCACTACATATGCTCCGAGCAACCTGTCTGCTGCTCCCACACATCTCAGAGGCCTGTCTGATACCAGCATCACCGAGAGAGAGAAGCTTGCTCTTGCTATTTCAACCTCAAAGCATCACCCTATCGGGGGTCAAAGAGAATAAACACCCCACTTCAGAGATCGAAATACAGAACTTGTTGCTTAATGCTGTCTTCTCTGTACGCTATCAGGAAAGAAGAAAGGAAAAAGTCCTTTCCTGCCAGCGCCTTTCTAACAGGTCACAGCACAGATTAGAAAAATAGTTATTGCAGGTAAAGCATTGGATGGATGTTGACAGTGTCACACAAAATTTTGGCTCTGATACAGCCTTGCCACCTGATCCTGGGTGAGGCATTGAATCCTGCGCTCTTTTTGCCTCTGTTTTCCGTGTGTGAAACAGAAGCACGAGCGCTGCTTTCACACAGCCAGTGTAACCATAATTTCTATTGGGTTCGGGCAGTGCCCGTATCCACCTGGAACAGGGCTTGGATAACTCTGTGGGTGGATTCTTTATTTGTTGGCTTCTTGTGATTTTTGTTGTAGACAGGAGCCAGGGTGACGGGCTTGTTTTCCAATCCTGGGTAGCTTTGAAAAGACCCACGCACCAGGCACAAGAGCTGCTGCTTTGGTTTTGCAGCAGGAGGGAAAGGAAGGTTTTCCTGCAGAGCTCTGGCCACGGCAGCAGCGAGTGTCAGGAAAGCAAACTGGACAAAGGGAAGGTAGAAATTCGTTCTGGGGGTAGTTCTGATTTGTCACTGGCAGTGAAAAAGTTAAAACTCATAGGGTTATTCATGAATTCCGCTTTTTAAAAACATGTCCCATTAAAATGCAGATTTAGTCTTCCATTTGCAAAGAACATAGTTATTTCAAATTCTGTATGGGAATCCTTTTTGTATTTGTATCTTTTGGGTAGAAAGTCCAGCTGCCTCTTGTGAGATTGCACATATCTCTTCAGATGTCAACAAATCATTGAAAAGTGTCAGAAAGGGGGAAATGAAAGATAATTATTCAAACCATGGAGAGCTACTTTGAAAGTGAATAGAATCTGTCAGATAGTCTTTTGAGAACAGCAGTTGGCTGCTTGTATTGGATATATTAAATGGACATATCTAGAGGCAAGGAGTGCTGTTTTAGATTCGGATCAGTTTAAGTTGGATTATTTTTCTGGTGGAGGTGGCTGAAACCACCAGAAATTATTGAGGGGAAATTAGTGGGGAAGGAGCTATATATGGATCTACTGTGACATATTAAAAGAAATAGTAAGCTCTGTAAATAAAATGCCCGTTCTTTCAGGGAAAGAAACAGCAGCTTTACATATTTGTCTATTATATTTTAAAACTGCAGTAGAATTAAAGACGGGGAGGATTTGACAAAAATGGAAGTAAATAAGCTGGTTGCTGTGTAAAAGGGCATATTTCTGAAAGAACCACATCACAAAGAGCTTGGGGAAGTCACCATTATATCCGACTATTAGAATATTACTGAGAATTTGCTTAGACTGACACTCCTTGCCCAGCCAGGGGAACAGTCTGACGGTGCTGCCCCCCTGGTGCTGCCAAACTCGGCCCTACAAATTACTTCTTGCAGGTAAGTTGGGGTGTCCCACATCTGAAGTCTGCCATCAGACCAGAAATTTGTCTTTTTTTTTTGTTGAAAAGCAATATTTTACAAGGCACAGAATGCAGCCCAGTAAAAGGCTTTAAAAAAACACTGCTGTAAATGCAAGCTCCTATATCTCCCAGCACACTTTTTAGGGGTTTTACCCTAATTCTCCAGAAATGGCAAACATCTTACAAGTTTTCTGGAATATCAGTGAGCACGGTGGTGCAGGCAAATGAATGAGAGGCCACTGTGCAGAAGCTCTGTGATTTAACTGCATCGATCCAACTACCGTATGTGGTTGCAACTGCTGTATGTAAAGGAGACAGGGAGCAAATAAAAAAGAGCAGAAAAGTACTGAAGGTGAATGAGAAATACATGCAGGTGGTAAGCTGCAACCAACATGCTAGGTTGTATGTAAACAGCAGAAAAACCTATAGCAGCATTCATTTACCTTTTGTAGCACATAATCCTCTGGAGAGGAAGACAGACCGTGAAGCAGGAGCGTCTGCTCTGAGCTGGGAATGGCTGGTGCTCCTGGTTTTGTTTCCTTTCCAGCTGCTTTTCCTTCTCTCAGGCAGCACAGAAGGATTTTACCCCTATCATGAAGGCTCAGAGGGAGTGCTGGTTCTGGCATCTCATACAGGCAGCACTTATTTCTGCTGTCTGCTCGGAGGCGGATGCTCCCTGGTTCAGCTTTCCTTTCTACCTTCTTGCAGCAATCTAGCTTGCAGCTTTTGCCTCTTAAATCTGGTTATAATTGGCACACCTGGAAACCTTTGCTATGTACCTGTGCTTTATCACAGAATAGTTTGGGTTGGAAGGGAACTTAAAGACCACCCAGTTCCTGCCATGGGCAGGGACACCTCCCACCAGACCAGGCTGCCCAAAGTCCCATCCAGCCTGGCCTTGAGCACCTCCAGGGATGGGGCATCCACAGCTTCTCTGGGCAACCTATGACAGTGCCTCACCGCCCTGACAGTAGAGAACTAAAAAACAAGCACAATGCATCCTGTTGCTTACTGGCTATTAAAAAATTCCTCCTGGCATAAGCCAACCCACTAGGTTAGGTCACGAAGCCTGACAGATGTGAGCTAGGACATAACTGTGTCAGGATCTAGGTGCTCCAGATCATCTCATGGAAAATCTAGGTTTTCAACATAGCAATGTTTTCTGCAAAGGGAGATGTTATTTTAAAGTTTTCTTGAGCCACCTTTATTTGAACTGAATTTCCTAGATAGTCCAACAACAGCAAATTGAACGTTTTATTAGATTACATTCAGTGTAATCTAATCCTGACCAGCACATTCGTTTCCAAAAAGCACAGGTAAAAGGACATTTTTGCAACACCCATTCCATTCACAGATATGCCCTAGCAAAAAGCTGAGATCCTGGTCTCAGCTCCTCCTAAAGCCAGAAAAGACCAATGACGGGGACTGGGTCCATGCCACTGCAGATGCTAAGAGCAGCCCTTGGAGAACCTGAAAACTCCCTTGCACCTTGAGTGCAAGCAGACTGGTAATTTTGGTTCAAGTCCTTCTCTTTTAATACTTTCCTTTCTCTGACCCACACATAACAGAGAATTTTTCTTCCAGCTTCCAATGCACAGCGCCTCATGCACACAGACCTAGCACAGCTTTTGCAATAGGATTATTATTTTTTTTTTGGTCTGAGTTACAGCCACCTTCTTTCAATATCATGACTTTATTATTTCTAGCAAAGGAACTTTGGGGGGGGGCAGCAGGAACAGACCCCAGAGTCCTCAATATCATCTTTGTTTTCATCTTCCCCTTACCTGCAGGAAACATAGAATCATTGGAGAGTTACTTCTAGAAAATTGGGAGCAACTTAGGTGTGCTTTCACTTGAATTTCTGTTACGGCGATCAGAAGGACTTTCTCAGAGATCTGGGCAACCTCATCAACTTCTCAGAAATCCTTTTTAGGGAGGAAGGCAAGCTCAAGGTGACCTGACTAGGTTTTGGAGTAGATGAATCCCCATTGCTCCCCCCTCTGGGCTGGGTGCCTCCCTCTTGTTTCCTTTCCAGAAGAGCCTGGGACAATGACACGCAACCCTGGAGAGCAGAGAACATCTTCACAAGGGAATCCTCTCCCCCAGCTTCCTCTCACCTGTCTGGGAAATGTGTTTGGGGCACCCAACCCTTGGACAACTGAAGCCAGGTGTGATGAATCCCACTACTTTGACTCAAACACTAAACAGCTGGAATTGCAGTTGGGCTAGGAGGTAGCTTCTTCCCACCTGCTCATTATGGTTATGAGAAAGGCAAATTTTATGGGAAAGACAAATTTTTACCCCCTTTCTCTGCTTCATTTGTTCACATGCAGATGGTGTGCCAGCAGCTGGCTAAATCAGCACACAGCACACATCTTGCCCCGTGCTGAGAACCACTGCATGCTTTGCCCCCTTTCTGCAGCTGGAAGCTGGTGGCAATAAAGCAGGGGAAGGAGAAGGCATTTCATTTATTTATTTTTCTTTTTCATTCTTATTTGTTCTCTTCCTTTTTCTTATTCCATTGTCTGAAACCAGAATTGAACTTCCCTGCAAAGTCATGGCTGATTTTCCCTTTTGGTTATCTCAGTGTTAATCCACCATGGTAAGGGGAGTTACTGCAGAATTAGGGTAATGTACAGGAGAGGAGAATCAGGGCTTGGATCAATCCAGTGTTGCTGTTCAGAGGGATTAAAATGAGAGAGAGGAAGAGAGAAAAGGAAGAGCTCAAATGAAAGAAGTTTGAGAGAAACAAAAAATTGTTGTCATTGGGGAGCTATGCACTTTCTCCAGGGAGTTTTGCTACCAGATAATCTTTGAGATGGTGGAACAAGGTATTTAAATCTCTGCTTAAATACAGGAAAAGGAAGAAGAAAGTAAAGAGCCGCCAAAAGGAAAAGGTGTCTTTTTTTCTGGCAGAACAATCTACCTCTTATGTAAAAAAAAAAAAAAAAAAAAAAAAAAGTTTCTGTATCCTACTGATAATTATGCCTTCAGCAAAGGGTCTTTTAAATTCAAATGTCTTTTTCAGCACTTGGCCTCGAATAATCTCTTCCTTTCAACCTGACGATGTTGGTGGGTTTTGTGCATGCAGATATATGTATTTAAAATTAGTGTGCTTGGGATTTATGTGAATATTTGTTAAATATTCACATATAGGATATGTCAATATCCTAATAGGATAAATATTCACAATAGGATTTTTCGGGGTTCTTGTACTGGCCCCCAGGAAGTTTGCAGGATTTTTTTCTGCCAGGTGTTGTGTGGCTGAGAGGCCTGAGTCAGGAAATCTACGTGGGTAACAGAAGTACCATGCCAAAAATGCGGCAACATTTAATGATTTGTGTTGGGGAAGTTTAATCCTTTGGGTGCAAGGTTTATAATTCCACAGCGGATTAGCAGCCCTGGCCATTGAGCACTCTAGGTTGGGGACCGATTTTTTTTTTATCTAACCTGGATTTGGGCTTGCAAACTGTATTTTCATATGAAAAGATAAAGTTCAGATATTCAGGTGTTCGAGCTAAGCATGCTATAATATAAAGGCATTTTATGCCTAAGGAAAAAAAAATAAAATTTGTGGGTCAAAAGGTTTTCTGGTGGGTTGAAAAAAGAGGTTTAAATTGGTCCCAAATGTGATTACAAACATCCAAGATAAAAGTGGTCAAGATAGTTTGCTACTGATTTCTTTTTTTTTTTTTTTTTTTTTTGGTCACTGTAATTATAATTTTGATGCTATGAATTATCTGAGGAAAATAAAATAAAATAAAATAAACCCTGCTTAACCTGCAGAAGGAGAGTGCTTTTTCAGACAGGTGCTCTCACTTTTAAAGAAGAGCCATTTCACCCCTAGCACCATGCCCTCTTTCCCTTATGGAAATACCAAATTTATCAAAGTTTTTACAGCGAAGTAATTCCCTGGCAAAGGTCCCTCTCTGTTTCTCTCCTCTCCTGCGATTCTTGCCTCTTAATGCCTATAAACCTGCGGATCTGATCCTGCCCTGATGACGGGAATAAAGCTCAGCTCTTGTGCAGCGTGGAGGGGAGATGCATGCGTGCTAGCACGCCTCGCTACAATGATATCCTTTAGTCTGCCTGCCCATCAAAGCGCCTCCCAGGCAAGCAGACATTCAGCTTAATAAAATGGGAGTTAGGCTGGTGTTAATCATTCAGGTTACCACGAAGCATTCCCACAAAGTCTGTAAATATTCACACATGGGCCGCATTGTCTCTTTAAAAGGATTAGTCTCTTTAATTAGATCTATCATTCCCTTTTTCCGAGGTTTCTTTAAAAGATACAGTAGTACGAGCACTGTACCAGCAAAGATAAATTGCCTCCTTTGAGAGAGTGACATTTCCCCCATTGAGATGGGCCCTTTTCTGAGGTTGTTGTTTTGCCCCATGAAGCAGCCATTCAGGTAGCGCAGCGCTGAGAGCGCCTTGTTAGAGCTCAGAAACTATTTGTGAGGCCGCGGCAGACTTGGACTTTCCAACTGGCACCGAGGAGAAAGAGCCGCTTGTTCCCCCGCTATCGGGGAAAAAAGGGCTGGTGCAGGTGGTGCTCCATCAGTAAGACGCTGTTGGAAGAAAAGCTTGCAGGTGCTGGTGCTGCGAATGGGCGCGCACTTCCTGGGCCCAGAGCGAGCTACAGAGGACTGCCAACCCCACACAGAACCGCACTGTTGCCTTACGAGTGAATAAAAAAAGATGTTTCAATGCTGTCGTCGGATCTGGGTGGTTTGCCACCGAGGACAAAAAGTCTCCTGTAAAATTTGATTTAAATAGTCCTATCTCACTTGCGCTCTGGGTGACCAGATTCAATTGTGCTGGTGTCCCCTGTGCAGTATGATATCATAGCTTCAGAGGAAGGCTTTATTTGGAGGTCACATTAGTTTGTCCTGTGGATGTAATCATTTTTTGTGCCATGGACAATGTTTTACTGTGGAGATATGGGCCAGATGGCTCAGCCACTTGCAGTCCAGCGTTAAACAGGCTCTTTATTGTCCGTGAATAAACAGAACCTATTGTCTGTCCCTCATGAAACTCTAGTGTCCATCACTGTTTAAAGATGAAGTATTAAATTTTCATGGCTTTAGGGAAGAATATGTAAAACAACAAGTAAAAGGGGTGTGGGCTTCCAAAACATATCCTCATTGTCCGTCCTTTTTTTTTTTTTTTTTCTCCCCTTTGCAAATGCCCAGGAGGTATTTCCATGCCTTGCCATTGTTCCACGTTGCTAAGCGCTCGGGTCCCGCTTGTCCTCTCCCCCCGGCACCGGGAGCATCTTCCACTGGGGTGCCCCCATGGCAGGGGCTGCGGAGCACCCCTGGGGGGTTTCTGCCCACAGCCCCATACAGGGATGCTGTGGCTGGGTGGGGAGGTTGATCCCAAGCCCATCTCTGGTTATTTGCTGCTTTATATCCCCAAAGGTTCCCCCTTCACCGTGACTCTCGTGAGCTGGTAATGCACAGAGTGCTGGCCAGCAAGTGAGTAGGAAAAATTGATCTCCCTCAAGACCAAAGAGGTCAAATTCGGGTGTTCCCCCAGGTTTTTCCCCCAGGCCCTGCACAGCAATTCGGGTTTGCTTTTTTTCCCCCCACCCCCTAAAGAAAACACGCATTTTCTGTTTAAACTCACCCCGTCCACAGCTTCCTCTATCGCAATGTCAGAAGTATTTCTTTCCTCTCTCTAATTGCAACCAAAGCCAACCTTGACTGGCAAGGAGAAAGTCCCTGACAGGTTTGGGTTCAGTCCAGACCTTCTCAGAGAGTCTGTCAGCCGACTGTTTGACAGTATGCAAATGTATGCAAATGGGGGGACACTGGATGAACACCTGCAGAAAGTGTCCATCCCCACTCCCGCTATGCTCTACCTCCTCTGCACGTGGGGCTTTGAAATGCTGCTTCGTCTCCCTCTGTCAGTTTATTATGCGTTTGTCAGCAGAACGTGGGGCTGGTGGAAACTGCACTCTTTGTCCTGACGGGCGGCAGAGCCCCATGTGGACCGGCGAGTGCCAGGAATGGCGCGATGGCTTCTGTCCAGCCCTTGTGAATCCTTCTTTCTGTCTTTAGGACCTTCGCTTCAGCATCCGAACCCTTTCGGGGTT